TCACCAGTTGCTGTGAGGGTTTTACTTTCACGCAAAATTGCAAGTTATACGTTTTTTTTGGTAGTGAACTGTACTAAAATAGATTTACCTGGCACTGAGGGCATGCTTGATGCTGTTCTGGGCGTACACGGCACAGCTCCGGATGAGGAAGGCTGAGTCCAGGGATGCCGCTGAGTCTTCTCGCATTCCCCTCTGCAGTCTCCAAAGCACGTAAGCAGTATTCACAGGCTGTTGGGGGCATGATGGTAAAGCCGGATAAGTTTCATTGTAGATCCACATGCAGTACACATGCAGATTATTTTGTCCAGTTAGTCCAAAACCTCAATAATCAATGAAAAGATGCAATTATAAGTCTTATAAGTGCATCAAACATCTCACCTTTATATTTATACAAAGTGTTCCACAGGAATTGGGCAGAGACGAGCGGCCGCTCAATGAAAATGGTTTCTCCCTTCTTTATGCTCCTTTTGGCAAAGAGACCCTTGCCCTGTAACATGAATAACTAACTGTTACTGCAGCCTTCAGTCACTACAGAAAAGTTATAGACTATGAACATTTTACAAGAAATTAAAATGTAAATGACAGTGAGACCTAAAATGATTCATTTCTTAATCACTATGTTTAAAAAACTCACAACTTGCTGCAGCACAAACATGTTTTTCCCCAGAAACTGTAAGTTGTTGTTTTCATCCACCAATCACACATCAACCAATCAACATGAGTAAAAACTGTGAGGAGGAGGAATAACATACTGCTGCATTCAGTCCAGACAGACCACTTAAAAAACAAGCACCACCATTTAGAGTCCACTCAGTTTATTAATGTGATTATATTAACAATCCACTGGTATTTGCATTTATATCAGCTGATTAAAGAAGAGTAACAAAGTAAAGAAGAGATGGCAGAAGAGCCCTTTCTAGCTTGTCCTACAGAAATTAATTCAATTTTGTGTGTCTGAAAGAAATATATATAATCAGCTGATTTATCAGAATACATGCTCATCAAATCTCCACATATATATATATAGTTCTGCAGGTGGTGGCCACAGACCATCTCTCCTCTAGTTTGCTTTTTACTAGTATTCTTGTCTCTACTGGTAACATGTGATGGAACCTGCTGCATTCAGGTTGTCACATCCATATTATCACAACACTTTCTGCTGTGTCTCCCAGTCTGTCTCGAGACAGATAGCAGGAGACTGGCTGTTACAGTAGGTGAGCTGGACAGGGCGTAGAAGGTCATCAAATGACAAGCGGACCAGAAACTGCTTCTTTGTGCAAGGAGGGACAGGAGGAGCGATGGCAGAGGCCTACAAAATGACCTCCAAGGGC